TCATCATGCCTTGGTTTGCAAAGAAAGTTCAAAAGATGCAAAGTTGATTCAAGAAGTTTGACCTAATTGGACAAATCCTTGATTCTATGATCACTAATGCATAATTCCCTCAACTTTCAATATTTTAAAGTGGTTCTTTTTTCTATGTACTCCTATCATTGTCTACAAAAAATTCTCTCCACATGACAAGGTCCAATTGTGCAAATAAAATCATCAAAAGTTGAAAGGGGTTACAAGTCACTTTTGTATTTTCTAAGTAATGATTAGTTGACTTCCAAAGACCATATCTTGCTCATATTTTGAGATTTTAAAGTGATTCCAAATCCATGATTCTCTTCAACGAGTCCTTAACATTTTCTCTTCAAGGATCAAAGGTTAATTTTGAGAGGAAGATCATTTAAGTTTGGAAAAGATTACAAATCCTTTAGAAAAGCCATTGAATTCTATGAATTGACTTCAAAGGATCATAACTTGACCAATTTTTATATCCTTGAGCTCATTATTTTTTCACAATAAACTTGAAAGTGTCTACTATAACTTTTTTTCAAGGTGCAAGGCTTGAAAATTCTTGGAAAGTCATTTAAGAATTGAAAAGATTATAGGTCATCCATGGATTCCTCAAGAAAATTTCATCACCTTCCAAAGGCCATAACTTTTTCATTTTTTATGCTTTTTGAGTGATCTCAATCCCCCAATTCAATTTGAAGGGTCTATTCCATTTCATCTTCAAGGATCAAGAGCCAATTTTGAGTGGAAGGGCTTGTAATTTTGAAGAACATTATAGGTCATTTTGAAGCTCGACACTTAGAATTTTTTCTAAGTACCGAGATCCGTGTGTTTTTCCAATTTCAAATGAACACAACTTTGTGCTTAGGCGTCCAAATTAAGTATTTCTTGGCATATTGTAAAGTTGGTGACCTTGTCTTTCTAATGCTTCAAGAATCATATCATAAAGCTCCCTACATTGTTGGCACCATGGTTGTGAAGTTGGTATCTTAAAACTGAGTTTTTTGCTTGAAGTCATAATTGATTTTGATTAGTGTGACTTCTAACACAAAATTGATGCGTGATTTCCACTTAAACATGATTAGAAAACTTATTGGATTCATTGATAAGATCAAAACGCAAAGAATGACTGAGTTTTGATGCACATAGAGTCACACTTTTTGCAATCATCGGGTTGGCTTGGTTCACACGATTTCCCCACAAATTCTTCCAATTCTCATCACCATTCACTTTCCTATAAATAGGGGACCATATTCCTCTCATTTCCCAAGCTTTAGACAACCATAATCACCCTGTCATAGTTCCACACAAAGCTTGAAAATAGAAAATCCATTTCATAATTTCAAGCCTTCTTTCTTCAAATTCTCTTATGATTCTTCTTTCTCAACTATTACACAAACTCTCCATCACTTAAATCAAGAAATTCGAGCCATAAATCAAGCTATAAAATCTCAGTTTCAGAGCTCAAATTTTGAACTTCGTTTAGGTAGTTTTCTCAACCAAATTGATCCAAACAAGTTATCAGACTGTAGTCCTTCTTCCTTTGAGTCTCACACTTCTTTTAGTTTTCATTTTCATTGAGAATTGATCATTATTTTGAAATTAGATTTTGCGATTTTCATCTGTTTTTTCCAAATCGATTAAGTTGTGGTTTAAAGAAATATTTCGCAAGGATATGGTTAAGATCGTCTGGAAAAGATGAATCCAATGATACCACTATGAGCTTCAAACATTTATGTTTGAAGAATCTCATAAAAATCCCCATTTGCAAGCATCTGGAGGTTGAAGACGGCCTATGTTTGAAGAATCTCATAAAAATCCCCATTTTCAACCAATGATAGTGTGGCAATTGTTTTAATTTGGTTGGCTCAGTTTAAACTGGATGCAGTGTTCTTCTCACTAGTGACCATAACATGCACAACGCGTCAGGTTCCTTGGATCTGATTACTAACGTGTTTTGACATTGATTAGATGGTCCACATTTTTTGGTTTTATTTTATATTTCCTGATTTTCATTAATGATTCAGTGTGTTATTCACTAATGTTCATATCATGCATAGCGCATTAGGTCCCTCAGATCAGCTTACTAACGGGTTTTGACATTGATTAGATGGTCCACATTATTTTGGTTTTATTTTATTTATTTTCTGATTTTTGTTTTAATTGTTTTAAACTTCAAAAATTCATTTCTGACTTAAAAATTATGAAAAAATTATAAAAATACTTTTGATTGTTCTCTTTCTGATTTTTATTTTTTCATAATTTTATATTTTTTATTATTTTTCTCATCGTTTGATTTGTTTTAATTTTTTAAAAATACCTTTTTAGTCTCTTAAAATTCTGGAAAAAAAATGGAAGGATCCAATGACATTCTTTTAAATATTGATGACCTTATTTGATTTTTATTTTTGATTTTGGTATTTTTTGTGATTTTTGATTTATTTTACTTATTTCTTCATATTTAAAAAATAGTTTATGACTTTTAAAAATCCTAAAAAAAATTGTCAACACTTGTTGACCTCTATTTGGCCATTGGTAATTTTCTTGGATTTTTATTTGGTATTTTGATACCTTTTGTGTATTTCATCAATAAATTCTAATTAAATAACCATTTTTAAATCATTTTTATATTTTATTTTTAATGGATTTTTATTTTATTTTATTTGCTTATGACTTGGTGATACATGAACATTTCTTGAGTCATAAATTTCTTCAACATCAATGAAACTTGGGTGTTGATAGGTCAAAGGACCAAATTCACCAAGATGGTTGATTGATTTTGATGAAGTTAGGCCTAATTGTGATTCATCTGAGGCATTGGCTACACTACGACTTCCCCTTTTCTCCTTCATTCTATCCCCTTTCTTCTTTTCCTATTGATGGGTTCTTAGTGGCCCAAACTTTAAGTTTGTAAGCCCAAGTATGGTTAAGTATTGAGTTATGGCCAATAACCTTGAAAACTCATTGTTAGGAGGCTTTGATTCTATCAATTCTCTAATGAGTCTTCATCAACTTTGACCTAGGCTCAAAGCTCAAACCATCATGGATCATATCACTTGGAATTCCCCATTTTTTCTTTTATTTTATTGATCCTTAGTGGCTCAAACTTTGTGTTTCTAAGTTCAAGGATGATTAAATGTTGAGCTATGGTCAGTAACCTTGAAAGCTCATTGTTAGGAGGCTTTGATTCTATCAATCCTCTAATGAGTCTTCATCAACATTGACCTAGGCTCAATTTTCAAATCATTACGGATCATTCCTCTGAAAAAGGTTTCCAACCATCAACTATTAACTCCTAATTATTAACCATTGACAATTGACTTTATTTTATGTTTTTACTTTATGCATTTATTTTATGTCTTTACTTTATGTCATTTATCTTTAAACATTTACATCACATGTTATTTGCCTTTTGCTCACTTGAGAATTTATTTTGTCATTTTTATCTTTGCTCACTTAAGCTTTTTTTACTCTTTTTTAACTTGAACATTAAAATCTTTGAGGTTACTTGGACTGTCTGGTTACTATCCCTAGCACTATGGAGTTGTGGCTTCCTGAGACTTAGGATTAGAAACCATGTGGCCTTGAAACTATGTGATCTTTGGTTGATATTTTTGTGAAGTTATTTCGAAGTCCTTGGGGTTTACTCCAAGGTATTGGTTTATATTTTTTGTGTGCAGGTTATTCTAATTTTTATGCTTTGTCTATGATTGAGAATCTCTCTGTATACAGTTGTTACTCAAGCCAATTTTTATCAATGAAGACTTTTTTTGGTTCTTGATTCACCCGAAGTTTGGTATCATCTGAGGTTTAATATTATGTTTTCTTGGTATTAATCCATAGGATGAGAATTCTACATTGATTTCTTTATGTCAAGTGTTGGCTTCTTGATGGTTAGACTTTTCTTTTCCTTAGTTTTTACTTTGTGTATATAGGATAGTCCCTTCATCTCCTCTCATCTTCTTTAATTTTCAAATCTTCTCACTCCTTTTCAAAACTCTTCTTGTTTTTCAAACTTGAACCGCTTTCATAATAAACTTGGACTTAGGTCCATGCACTTTCAAAAGTTTTTTCTTAATCAAACCTTAATCAATTTAATAATACTTTGACATCTTTCTTAAGACTAAAAGTCATTAACTTCACTCAAACCATTTTGCCACTTTGACTTTTTATTTTAAAACTTTTTCTCAAAAGATTAGATTCTTGTTGGCTCTTATAGTGATGCAAACTACTATACTTCTACAATATGTAGTGAAGTGAGTCATTTTTCACTTGGGTGTTGAGTGGTGGATTTTAAATCCAAGTTATATCATCCACTTTGAGATGATGCAAATGCTTTTTTTCTCATGAATTATGGGTAGTAAGTATGTTTTTCACTTAGATACGACGAGATGTCTCTTCTCTTACTTAACCAACACATAAACTTTCAAAACTTTTGAGGTGAACTACAAGTACCCTAATCTCCTATTGCACGGAAGGTGGTATGTATGCACTAAAGATTTGCAACCGCAGCGGGTGCAAAAATTATTTTTAAAAAAAAGTACTTCTCTTCTCATCTCCACCGTCTATTTTTGTATACATCTTTTATAGTCAAAATACACAGATTTTCAAAGAGATTTCTGCAGATCACCGTAGATGTTTAGAGTGATAATACATTTCTTTTGCATAACCAATCCTCGTAGCTAGATTCTCTCTTTTATTGTAGGTTTTATTCGTTTTTTTCCTAGTCATTTGGATAAAATAAAGTGTAACACCAAAGAATCTAACATTATAATAATAATTACTCGACAAGGATAATAAAATCCTTTTTATTTTTCCTTAACACCTACAACAAATAATGAAATATAAAAACAAAAAAAATATTACCATAAAAATCTCTCACACTCTCTAGTATACATACATAGATCAACTTTTAACAATCATCAAAGCAAGATAAGCCAGGTCAATTTTGTTTCCACGAAATCCACAAGAAAATAAGAGGAACCGTGTTGTTATCAGTGCTTGAAGATGGCTAACATTGACAACACAACCGAAACTCCAACGAAGGCCACTGAATTTGTAATGGACCCACCTGCTCCAGCATCTGGACCTGGGGCTGGAGCCAACGAGGGACTAAGGTCTTGAGCCAAGGTCACAGCGGCAGCGAAAATAACAACTGTGAAGAAGGAGAAGAAGTTCATAGTTGATGATACCATTGCAAAACTGTAGAATATAGAGAGAAATTAAGTGAAAATTTTGTAATTGTGTGATGGGTGAGATGAGAAGTTGAGAGAGTTTCAGAATATTTATTTAAGAGGAGAATTGTGGGAGAATCGCGTGGGACTCAAAGTTAACAATATGGACAGCTGGTGCTTGAGAAACAATTATGCGTTGCGACGTTGTATCATATGAATGGTTTCGGCTGTCAGATGTTTGTGTGCTGTGAGTATGTGCTGTTATGTTTTGTTAAACAACCAATTATAGTGATTGCTTTTTCTTTGAATAATTCAATTGCCGTAACTAAGAACCAACGTTTATAATTTAAAATTGACTTGGACTCTTCTTAGAATACGTTTAATAATTCAAAGTTTGGTGAAGATATTTCTATGAACTTTTCAAATAATAACGCACCAATTAATCGCTCAACTATTGGAAACCATTAAAGTCGCACTTAAAGAATCTTGTGAATTGTAAATGACTTTTTCTCTTGCGTTCCCCTCTTTAGATAGCACTTTTGACTTGGTTAAGAAGAAAGTCCATTAAAGGTCATGCACTGAGACTAGTCTTGATTACTATAACCTCTTAATCATATCGCATATCATGATATCGTCCCTCGATAATAAATGTCTTCTTAATCATATCTTCATCATATATTGACCTAAGTCAGACTTGGACCGACATAATCAATTTTGACTTGTTAGTTATGTAAGTCTAGTCTCGCTCTCTTGATAAAATGGAATGGATTCTACCGGATCAAGGTTTACTTCGACCCACTCAAGGATCTAGTAAGAGACCAAACATGTACATAGTCCCTTAAGCTTGAGTCGTATAAGGGCAAGTGTTTTACTAAAGTATTTAAAAGAATGAACATGTACACAACTCCCTCAAACATGAGTCAAGTAAGGGAGAAGTGCTTTTACTAGATTCCTCCAAAAAAATGGATATTTACACCCCCTAAAGTATGAGTCGTATAAGGTTGTAGTGTTTTACTTGAATGCTCCAAAAGAACTAACATGTACGTAGCCCTTCAGGCATGAGCCGCGTAGGGAAAAAATCATTTTCTAAGACTAAGTAGTCATCAACTAGCGTGTCTCGATGTGGTTAACTTTCCGAGCGGGTTCACCTTTTATTTCTCAAAATATAATGGTCTTGGAATATGATCGACCGGTGTATGTTAGTGGTTTGACTGTTTCACATCTACTAATAGTGATGATGGCCAACTATCTTAAGAATATGAGTCACTTATGACCTAACTTATTTCCTATAACCCTAATTAGATAGCCATAATTGCAGCCTTCACTTTGTATTCCACCCAAATATTATAAAAGGGGTTCTTGCACTGTCATTTATCTCATATTCTCTCTTCAACCCGTAAATTTTCAACAAGCTTCTTTGTGCCACTCTCTCTTCGAAGTTTCAAATCTCCCACAAAGGCTCACAAAGTCAAGTAACATCATATTTCTTTTTTGTCTTTCCTTTCTTCTTTTCATGGTGTTTATTCCAGAGTGTGGCTTAACTAGGAAGGTCATTGACCCTTGGAATGATGTTGATGTATGCGAGTTATAGAATATATATTTGGCATATCTTGTAGTGTAAGGCATGAAATTTGGCATGGACAATCTTGAAGACATATTAGCGACCATGGAAAATATTTGAGACCTTTGGAGCTCACATATCTTGGTGAAAAGTGAAACCCTATGTGAAAGGTCATTGCTTAGGAGGAGAATTTGTCTGATCAATTCTTGGTCAACCTTGAGCAATTGAGGACCTCTAGGAGCATGTCTTGAGTAAAATGGGACGACAAATTTCGGGGTATAACACACGGGATACCCGCTGGTGACAAACAACAACAATGATAGCCTATTAGTGACCCCTTAAGAACTCTAACCTACCCGGTCCCCTAAGAGATATAACGATCACTGAATCCTTAAGACTTCTGACCTTCCTGGTCCCTTGAAAGAGATTTCTGTAAATATTATTGAGTAATCTGACCTACCTGGTCACTCAACGAAAAAACAACTTACAAATAAAAAATGTGTTTACAAATTGCTTCTCACAAGTTGATTACACAAATGTTTAAGTACAAATTGTTTAACACAAATATGAGCAACAACTCTTGAGTTAAAACAATTTACAATAGTAACACAATAATAAGCAACAAATCTTGTGTTCAAACAATTTACAATAGTAACACAATAATGAACAATAACTCTTGTGTTCTAACAAATAATAATATCAACATAATAATGAGCAACAACTCTTGTGTTTTGATCCTTTTCTTTTTCTTGTTTTGACTTTGGCAGGGTTATTGTTCTTGTGTTCAAGTCTTCTAATAATATCTCACATTGCAAATGAAATAGTTGATCCTTTATATAAGCTTTGAAGAGTAGACCGTTGTAGTAGTACACACGTCACTTTCATTTCCAACTGTCAACGGTAAGAAATGATCGTGGGAGACAAATAATACACAGTACATCCATTTGAGTGGAATGTATAATTGTACTATTGTACTAATTTTTCTAGTGCACGTTTGGTGATACTGTCTTCTGATGAATATTCCATCTGATGAAGTAGATTAGCTTAAGAAGATATCATCTTTTGATCTTGTCTTCCGATGGACTATATGATGTAGAATAATAACGAGTCTAAAAGATCTAACTTTCCTTGATTTGTCTTCTGATGGAATAATTTTGATGTGAAGTAATATATGCATATTCCACGAAGTATCAGAGTCTTCAAAATCTTGACTTTGTCTTCAGAATTAGAAGCATTAGCTTTTCTGATGAACAAATCTTGACTTTTTATTCGGAAGTAGAAGCTTTTCTTTGACGTATTCAGAATCTTGACTTTGTATTCAGAATTAGAAGCATTAACTTTTTCGAAGAACAAATCTTGACTTCCGATCTTTGCATTAAAAGCTTATTTCTGGAGCAATCTTGTTTTCTAATCTTGGAGCAGAAGCTATAACAAAAATCCTTTCTTCTAGAATACTTGTGACTTCTGAAGCAACAGTTTAATGAGAAGTATATGTTGAGATCATTTTCTGACGAACATTCAACATTCTTCAGAACTACTTATGTTTTTTCAGAAGCGGATGCAATAGTCTTTCTGATGCATGCTTTGTATATTTCTGTTGATTCTTCAGACAATAGTCCTGGAGCAATTAGAACTTTTAATCTTCACACTCAAGAAACTATTAGAAACAAAATTATTTACATATAAAATATATGTATTGTTATCATTAAAATCCATAGATTAATTGCACAATTCAAATCTTGTTATCATCTCCTCTCCCAGGAAAGTTCCTTCAACTGGCTAATCAGCCGACAATCATTCTCTTGTCATATATTTGACTATAGATGGCATCCACTCATCTCTCTTATCGAGCTCCACTGATTTACAATCTCGGCCTCCATGTTAAGGACGATCAAAGAGTATTATATAATCAGTTCTAACGTTTTCATCTCGGAGAACGTGTATTATCTCAAAAAACTTCAAGTGCTTAACTGTATCCTAAACACTTTGTAAATAATCTAAAAATTGAATTCTTTTGTCTGGTACTCGCCTGTAATCTAGTTAACTATAATTTGGGATTGCCTTCTTGCCCGGATGCTAGTTGCCTCCATTTTTCTCGCCTGTTTTATTTTTGTGATCAGTGCTTTGTATTTGGCCTGAGTATTGTTGATTTTGAAACCGAAGCATAATGATTGTTTAATCAATATGTCATCTTATCCTTTTGACACTATTCACGTGTTTGCTCACCTTCGAGGATCTTTTGTGCAAACATAAATTTGTAAAGTTAATTAATTTCATAAAACTTTTAATTGGAGCAGTTGAAAATATATATGAGTTAGAGATCATTATTGATGTGTGAGAAAAACAAGATTATAATGATAAATAATATTTACATTCAGATAATCAATTTTGATATAATTAGTAAGATATTTTGTTCAAATTAAATATTATATATCTTAATAAATATTTAATTTTATTATTATTATATATTTAATATTATATTGCACATATATTATTTTTAATTATATTAACTATCTATCATTTAAGGCATTAATTGTTAGAAATCAAATTAAGTATTAAGGTTAATTCAATTTCTAATTAGATAATTAGTTCTATTATTTAATTAATTGATATGAGTTTAATTGAATTTTTTTTACCATGAATTCAAGTATTAATATAATACTTAATAAAACAATATGACAATGATAATATTTGATATGTAGAATTTTTTTTTTGAATAATCATGTATTAAAAAAAAATTTCGTAAATAACCACGTTTCAGAAAAAACACTACAAGAAAATGTTTATCCAGCCACGTGATTTTCATGTGCCTAAATAAAGTCAGTTGCGACGTGAAAATCACGTGGCAACGTATTTTACTAATATAATAAAGAAGCATTAAGTGTGTAAGTTTTTTTTTTGTGTTAAAAAAAGTTGCGACGTGGGATTCACGTCGCTAATTAAAATATCATAAAAAATAAATTAATCACAACTTCCAACACTGACGTTTTCAGGTTTTGAAGAAAGAGAAAACAGTTGTATGATTGTTGCGACGTGAAAATCACGTGGCAACGTTGCGGCGTGATTTTCACGTCGCTACTTGTTTTATCTGCTTTATCAAAACACTCCACAACACACAGTAGCGTTTCAGATTTTATTAAACTTCTTCTTAAACCTTCCATATTCCTCCATACACATTTTCTTGAATTTTTTTTTATTAATAACCAAGTATTAAAATAATATTTCGCAAATAACCGGGTTTCAGAAAAAAATACGCAAATAACCATGTTTCAGATGACTCCCCAAAGGAGGAGCCATCTGAAATGGCGCATGCACCTCCTTTTTTAAGGGAGGCGCCATCTCACTTGGCGCCTATGTGCTTAGGGCATGCCCTAAGCCAAGTGAGATGGCGCCTAAGTGTAATTTTAGGGCAAAAAAAATTTTTTTTTATTTTTTTCCTATGCATTGCCTATTGGACAGA